AATATTTCTGACTCTTACAATTTCCAGAAAGGGTAGGAAGTCTTCAAACCATGTGATATAGTCTCTTCTGGCCTATGTGACCCCTGACATGAAGGCTTGTGCTAGGCAGACCATAATTCAAAGTTACTTTGGTCCCTGGCAGCAGAGGGGACAGGCTGGGTTTTCTTCTCCTGCCTAGCAGGCCTCCATGCTCTAACAGTTACCTATCTTCTTCGTGTCAAGAGACAGACTCCATGGGGGTGGGGCTAACTTCTGGGAGAGACAGAGCCAGGTAGTAAATCCATGATCTAACAATTGTCCTCTTATCTCCACACACCACAGCCACACTCACACAACACACACACACACACACACACAGAGAGAGAGAGAGAGAGAGAGAGAGAGAGAGAGAGAGAGAGAGAGAGAAAGGGAGAGAGAGGTGAACTCTGATTTTGTGTTCCTTGAACTGAAGAGAAATGTGTCATTTCAGGGCTTGGTATTATTTGAGGACGTAGCCGTGCACTTCACCCGGCGGGAGTGGCAGGAGCTGGATGCGGCCCAGAGGACCCTCTATAGGGATGTGATGCTGGAGAACTACAGCAATCTGCTGTTCCTGGGTGAGTGGAACTCCTTGTCAGTCTCAGCAAGCACTTCCTCCTTAGTTAACAAGCAGAGAAATCATGACTTACTCTAAAGATTTATTTTTATTTGTAGCTATGTATATGTGTCTGCGAGAGTGAGTACCACATGTGTGTGGGTACCTGTGCACACCAGAGGGCATTAGGTAGCCCAGAGCTTGAAATGAACAGTTGTGAGCTGCCAAGTTTGGATACTGGGAGCTGAACTTGGGTCTCCCAAGAGCAATATTTGCTCTTAGACCCAGAACCGTCTTTCCAGCCCACTGAACTTTCTCAAGGTCATTATTTGGGGTTATCTACCTTGCAGTTTAATGCCACAAGAGGGTGGTCTTCTGGCTATTGAAGGATGAGAATATAGATCCTCTCTGACCAATCAGTTTCTTACCTATTGAACAATTCCCGAAGTGGAGCTGTGGTTTCTCAGGAGACTGTCATAACACCCTGACACCATTTGCTTACTATTTCCAATTTGCAGAGCCCCGCATGGCCAAGCCTAAGCTGATCTTCAACTTGGAACGCGGCCATGGGCCATGGAGCCTAGCGGAAGCTTCAGTGCCGAGCTTCGCGGGTGAGTACACGTGGACGAGGAGGTCAGCAGGCAGCGCTCCTCCGGTACTGGTCATGTTGAGCTGTTGGTGTTGTTTTAATCAAATCTCATCGAAACCCAGACCCGAAACAGCTGGTCACATGGGTCTAACCTTTTTTTTCCTTTCTTTTCTTTGGGTGGTTTTGTTTTTTGTTTTTTCAAGACAGGGTTTGTCTGTGTAGCTTTTGGAGCCTATCCTGGAACTCACTCTGTACACCAGGCTGGCCTCAAACTCAAGAGATCCACCTGTCTCTGCCTCCCGAGTGCTGGGACTAAAGGCAACTTTTTTTTCTTTTTTTTTTTTTTTTTTTTTATATATATTTTTTATTTTACAATACCATTCAGTTCTACATATCAGCCATGGGTTCCCCTATTCTCCCCCCTCCCACGCCCTCCCCTTACCCCCAGCCCACCCTCCATTCCCACCTCCTCCAGGACAAGTCCTCCCCCGAGGACTGTGATCGACTTGGTAGACTCAGTCCAGGGAGGTCCAGTCCCTTCCTCCCAGACTGAGCCAAGTGTCCCTGCATAAGTTCCTGGTTTCAAACAGCCAACTCATGGAATGAGCACAGGACTTGGTCCCACTGCCTAAATGCCTCCCAAACTGATCAAGCCAATCAACTGTCTCACCTATTCAGAGGGCCTGATCCAGCAGGGAGCCCCTCAGTCTTTGGTTCATAGTTCATGTGTTTCCATTCATTTGGCTATTTTTTTTTCAATAATTGAGTAAAACTGAAATTTATTATATGCCACAGTCGTCCTACGGACCTCCATGCTATATATATATATATAGCCTCTATGGTTCTATGGGTTGTGGTCTGATTGTTCATTTTATATCTAGAATCCACCAATGAGTGAGTACATACCATAACTGTCTTTCTGGGTTTGGGTTACCTCACTCAGGATGATATTTTCTAGTTCCATCCATTTGCCTGCAAATTTCATGCTTTCATTGTTTTTCTCTGCTGAGTAGTACTCATTGTGTATATGTACCACATTTTTTTCATCCATTCTTCCGTTGATGGGCATCTAGGTTGTTAACTTTTTTTTCTTAATCCATTTTTAAAAGAATATTCATGGCGTCACTCCATCACCCTGATTTTCTTGCTGAAGATTTGCCTAAAAAATCTGAGATCTGCCAAAACAAACCCTGTATAGATCTTCTTAGCCACTTTTCACTGATTAAATGCTTGACCTAATTTCTTGTTTGTCCTGCTATCTTACTTGTTTTAATATAATAGCTTTGTTATTGGACCTTTGTTTTCATTTATAGGTAGGTAGTTGTCTTTGTAATTGTCATGTTACCAATGCTGGTCACATGATACCTCTCTCCTAAAAGAGCTTATAGTTGGATAGAGCACAGTGGACTGAAGATAGATGAGTGATGAATAGCCAGAAAGAAGGTTTACCAGGAAAGATATTTAGGAGTGTTTATGCTAGCAGAGGCACACAGTGAGTTTGCTGTGGATGGATATTTTCATTTAATTTCCCTTTCACTTTGAGATGTGATTAGTAGTTGGGTATAAATTAATGACTTGATAGTGATCATGGTTAGAATATAGATACATTTGAAAATCAGTAGCCTACAGACATTTTAATATACTTAATGTACTGTATTATCTCCTGCTTTCATATCCTTTTAATATTCATTAGGTTTCATTTTCACTGTTTTTTGTATGTTCTTTGTGTAGTTACTGGTGTTATGTGAGTTGTCTTTATTTTTCGTTTCTGTATTGGGTTTTCTTCCTCCTCTAAGTGGTGCAGTAGGCTCAGGCTGCAGGTGAGGAGTAATGGCAAGTCCCCCTGGCATAGAATGGGAAGATTGATGGCTCCTCACTGTTGTACAAATTCCAGTATGGAAACATCAATTATGGCAGAACAGACAAAATACGATAAATCTTCCAACACATATTGGCCCTCTAATAACTGATTCCAAAGATAGGGAAGTGGAAAAGATGCCAGATACAAAATTCATACGCTACATTTACTAGTGATCACTGACCTGAAAGAGTTTTCAAATAAATAGATGAATGAAGAATAAATTTAAAGCTTTCCCAAGAAATTTAGAATCTTCAGTAAGAAATTCAGAGAGATTGGGAAAGAAAATACAACCCGAGATCTTGAAAGGGAAATGCTCAACCATAACTAGAATATTCACTAAAATGCATCATAGAGTATATAGTGTGACAGAAAAAATAAAACAAAGCAGAACAGGGATTGCAGCTGGGGTTGAGAATTATTAGTCAGATTGAGAGAAAATATAACACTTAATACCCTCTGGCTATGATTAAGAAACCTAACATGGCTCGTGGGGTGGTTCAGTGTGTAAAGGCACTGGAAGGCCTGACCACCTGAGTTTTGTCATTGGGTCCCACCTAGTGGAGGAAGAGAACAGACTCCCTTCAGGTTGTCCTTGGACTTCCACACATGCGCCATGGCATGCATGTACCTACACCATACACACACACACACACACACACACACACACACACACACACACACACACACAATGAACAAAAAGAATTACTGCCTGGGAATCTGGCACACAGTAGCAATGAAGGGACTAGAGGCCTAGATTCCCAGGCCTCTAGGTGACTAACCAACATATCTAGGTGTGTGAGCAGTTTAGAACCATGACTTGATACAAAAAATTGACATGATCCAAAAAGACCTTTTCAAGGGTCATTAAAATGAAATTGCCAGAGCACAAAAGAAAGACTCTTGAAACTGGCGAGAAGACCGTGCTGAGTTACTTTAGAATACAAGCACATTAGCACAGGCTGTGTCTCAGCAAAGACTGCCCTGACCGGAAAGCAGGGCTCATGCATTTGAAACCCTGAGTCAAACTGTGAAGCAAGATTTCTCTGACCAACAAAGTTATCCTGTAAAACTAGAAAGAACTGATGGCCTTCTACAATGAGCATGAATTCAATTTATATTTCAACAATAAAACAAAGCAAAGGAAATATGAGTTAGAATCCTGGTATCTGTTAGAGAAATTTGTTATATTCATTACGGAATAAAATAGGTACTGTGGGTCAGTAAGTGTGTTAGTTGGGGTTTCTGTTGCTATGCTAAAACACCATGACCAAAAGCAACTTAGGGTGGAAAAGATTTATTTCTGCTTATAGTTCCACAGCACAGTCCATCACTCAAGCAGGGATTGGGGCAGAGACCATGGAGGATACTGCTTCCTGGCTTGTTCCCTATGGCGTGCTCAGTCTGCTTGCTTGCTTGCTTGCTTGCTTGCTTGCTTGCTTGCTTGCTTGCTTGCTTGCTTGCTTGCTTGCTTCCTTCCTTCCTTCCTTCCTTCCTTCCTTCCTTCCTTCCTTCCTTCCTTTCTTTCTTTCTTTCTTTTCTTTCTTTCTTTTTTTAGTATAAATAGAAAACATTTATATGACTCAAGTTTATCCAAATAGCTTAACCTTAACAGACTTAGCAAAGACAAAGGGGCCTGGCAACGTTTTTAAGCCTTAATGGGCCCTGGATAAAGAGAGGCATTCTCCAAGTCACTGGTTCTCAGCTTTCTCAATGCTTTTCATAACTGCAGTTTTGCCATTGTTGAATCTCAGTGCAAACATCTGACATACAGGTGGTCCTAGGCTACCCCTGTAAAAAGATTTTTTCAACTCCCAAAGGATCGAGACTCATGGAGTCAGAAGCTGTTTCAAGCCCTTTGCCAGGCTGCTTAGGTCATTGTCTTGCTGTTTCACAAAAAATGAACATCCCAGTTCCTAGTTAGTATTTGGTGCTTAAGACTCTGACTCTAATTTTTAGCCTTTTATTTTAAGTCCAAATATTAACAATATAGAGCATTTCATAAACTTAAAATTTCCCGTAGCCTTACAAAATTCAAATATTTTAAAAACTGTCCTTAAAAAGGTTAAGATCTCTCAAATGTCTTTCTGCAATATCAAAAATAAAACACCTTCTTATACTTAAAGAGGGAGAAAACATGGCATCACCATGATCTGTATAAAGCTCTGGAGTGCAAACAATCCCAAAGTTCAGTATCTGGGATTCATTTATAATTATTTTGGTTCTTTCACTTAGAGGAATGGATGATTTCTTTAGCCCTACCCTTGGTGGCACATACATGCTCCATTTCACTGTGGCTGGTGTTTCTGGTGATCATCACCTGGCACTGGCATTTTCAAAACTGCTAAGGTCCACCATTGCAACTAGACTCTTTGGAACGTAGTCCTGCCATACATTTGCAAACCACCTGTTCCCTGTGATCCTCTCCTGTCTTTAAAACCATTATCTTATTACATGGGTAAATCTTAAATCACAAAGTTTAGCTGCCAGAGCAAGCACTGAGACCCAGCTGTAATATTTATCAAATACCTTATTCATTAAACATATGTAGCCATCTATTTAAATTCTCTAGAAGCTTGCTGTTGAACACATGGGAAAGACATAAGTACTTAGGTGTAACTCTCTAAGTTAGCTTTTGTTAACCTGAATAAGTCTTTATAACCTTAGTAAAAGATGGTTGCCAGCCATGTGGCTGCCTCTGAGGTCACCAGCCAAGATGGAGGAAAGCCATGTGGTTGCTGTTTAAAGCATGTTTTTCTGAACAATAATTACTTGCATACACGTGCACAGTTGGATCCAAGTTAGATACACATACATACAGTTCAAGCTAGCTTCCATTCATACATATAGTATTTATTTCTGCTACTATAATATAATATCTTCTAGCTTCGTTCTTGCTCATCCTTCATAAATCACAAAGTTCTGGGTTTTTTTTTTTGTTTTTTTTGTTTTTTTTTTTGGGTTTTTCAAGACAGGGTTTGGTGCCTGTCCTGGATCTCACTCTGTAGACCAGGCTGGCCTCAAACTCAGAGATCCGCCTGGCTCTGCCTCCTGAGTTCTGGGATTAAAGGTGTTCACCACCACCGCCTGGCTCAGTGTCTGCTACTTCTGGGACCCAGGACCACCAGCCCAGTGGTGCAAGTGGCCACTCCCCTTTCCACGTCTATCAAGAAAATGTCCCCTAGGCTTGCCCATAGGCCAGTTGGTCAGGGCATGTTCTTAATTGAGGTCCCCTCTTTCAGAATGACTCTAGCTGCGTCAAGTTGACATCAAACAGCATAATAGCATATGAAGGCATGACTTGTCGTTTATATTTGAATTCTTAAAAAATATATTTATTATTGAACCGTGACATTTTTAATATTATAGGTGTTCATAAAGTGAGTGCCCTGATTGACACCAGCAAGGAAAATCCTAAGATACATCTGGGGCCACTTGAAATAACTAACCAAAAGATACCAAATGAAGACATGATTGAAGTAAGTAGACATGTAATGTAAGGTCAAACCATATGTCCACACTTAGAGTGAGCTGCTTCTCAGTAGTGAGCCTGATTAGATGCAAGCTGGAGAACCTGATGATTGTCATCTATTTAAGCAAGCCTACCAGACTCCTCAGCAGCTTAGTTTGCGTCACAGTAAAGTTCATAGTGTTAGTATTTTCAAAGAGGCAAAGGCAATATTATTGATACATAAAGACATTTCATCTCAAAGAGACTTCTAGTAAATTCTGTAAATACTTGAAATCCTTTCCTTGTCCACAGTGTGGCTTATGTGGGAATGAAGTACTGAATGTAGTATATGTGGATAATGTTTTTAAGGGGACAAATCAGTCACTGGTAAAGAGCACACAGAAATATCTAGAGATTATGAGGCAGCATACTTGGAATATTAGGCAGCTCATTCTAGGAAAAAGTGCTGGAGCACTAATGAATCTTAACAAATTCTTTTGTTTCAAGGCAAAACTGAAAACTCCACAGAAAGTCTACAAAGGGACAAGAGCATGTCATGGTAGAGCTCCTGCCAAAACATTTCACCAGAAGTTAAGGGAAAACAAGAACCAGATACTGTACAGAGAAGAGAACCTCTATGAATGTAAGGAATGTGGGAGAACTTTCTCTAATAACTCAACCCTCATCAAGCATCGCAGAAGAACTCATAATGTACAGAACCGCTTTGAATGTACTGAATGTGGTAAAATGTACCATTGGAAGTCAGACCTCACTGATCATCAGAAAATGCATAGTCAAGAGAGGATCTATGAATGTAAAGAATGTGAGAAAGCTTTCTTTCGTAGGTCTCATCTCAATGCACATAAAATAATTCATACAGGTGAGAAGCCTTATAAATGTACAGAATGCAAGAAAGCTTTCAATTACAAGTCAGACCTTACTCGACATAAAAAAACTCATTTGGGTGAAAAGCCTTTTAAATGTGAAGAGTGCATGAAAGGTTTTTCCCGAAAGTCAAAGCTCGCTATACATCAGAGAACTCATTCTGGTGAGAAGCCTTATGAATGTACAGAATGCCCGAAAACTTTCTCCCATAAGTCACAACTTACTGCACATAGGATAACTCATTCATCTGAGAATTTTTATGAATGTAAAGAGTGTAATAAATCTTTCCACTGGAAGTGTCAACTCACAGCACATCAGAAAAGGCACACAGGAAAAAACTTCATGAATACAGAACGCAGGAAAACCTGCCACAAGTCAGAAGTCACTGGACATCAGAGAACTCAGATCGCTGAAAAGCCCTATGGATATGAGGAATTCGGGGAAGAAGGATTTCAAGTATTTACAGAAGAATTCTACACTAAGTCAGACCTTACTGTACATCAGGGAAATTCATAATTGAGAAGCTTTACAGAATGTAGGAAGGTTTTCCAGTGCAAATCTGACCTCATTCATCATCAGAGATCCACAGAAACGAGAAGCCACCGTGAAGAATGGTGCTCAAAGTTAGCCCTAGCAACAGAGAAGAGCATGTGAAGAGAAGCAGGGAGGCTGTCTTGACAGAACCTGCCTGACTCACCTGCCAGCAGACTCCACAAAGAGCTCTTGCTTTCTTTTATTCTTTGGTTTCTCTGTGTAGCCTGGCTGTCCTAGAACTTGCTCTTTAGATCAGGCTGGCCTCTAACTCAGAGATCCACCTGCCTCCGTGCTGGGACTAAAGATGTGTTATCAGTAGCTTGGGGTGGGGGGGGTCATCCCCCAGCTACCACCAGGGTTATGCAAGAAAATGCACAAATGCAAAATGCAATGAAAGCTTAGGAAAGATTCTCTCTCTGCAAATATTTCTGTCTCCACAGTTATATCTCTTTACATACAGCTGTATTTTCTACACACACACACACAGCCCCTTCTCTCTGAAAAATCTCTCTTGCTCTCTCTCCTGCCTACCTATTCATGTTCTCTCCTCAGGTCTTTCTGCGCACACACACACACACACACACACACACACTCACTCACTCACTGTCCAGGTCTTTCCACGGTTCCCTCACATAGCTCTTCCTTCATGGCAGCAGCTCTTTCACCCAGCTCTGCACAGCCGTCTCTCCCCACACCACAGCTGCTGCCCCACAGCCAAACTCTGGACAATTATAAGTTACATTTTTCAAGGCCATACCCTTTCTCAGAACAAGATAAGTCACGTAGTCTCTCTTGGGCTAGTGATGTCACATTGACCCATGCACGTAGCTCTAAGTTGGTGAGGGGTCCCCGACAGTAAACAGTTGGCTGAACCTTGAGCCGTCAGGGTACGTGCGGACAGAGAGCTGCTGCAGGGAGCCCTATCTCAGTGTAAACAGTCTGGCCTTGATTGAGCAATAAACAACACCCGGGGATTAGTGTTGGTGTCTGTTCTGTAGGGACAGCTTTGTTTTGATTTGTTCTGATCAGCCTAAAATTAGCTGTCTTTGAGACTGAAAATGCTGTTACTTTCCTGTGTCAGTAAAGAAGAATATTCTGGTGTTATTTCTATACATCAGAATTATACAGCTTAAACAGAAATCCACAACTAAATGTGTGCCCCAAGATGTAATATTTTCTTGAGACACGCAGTGGGAAAACACCCATAGCTGTTTTTAGGAAAGAAATGTAGTAGCACATGAGAAAAATAACAGACAGGAGCCGCAGGTCAGTAACAGTAACTCCACGGCTTTGGCAAGTGGGGCTCCCCACCAGGGAGTTATGTCTGGTGGGTGGACTTGTCAAGCACTAGTTGTCACCTGCTGTATACTCCCGTAGCCTTTGGCAGTGTGTACCCCTACTGCCTGGATAGAGTTCTCTTTGACAAGTCAGCATCCCTGCGAACACCTGTTCCCCCAGTTCTGACAGTAGTGGAGACGGGGATCACTTGAACTTGCTGACTTCTAGCCTAGCTGAGAATGAGTCCCAGGAACAGGTGGAGAGTGGTGGAAGTGGACCCTCAATACCCACTCTGGCTTCTGTGTGTGAGTTTAGGTGCACATTAAACACGTGTAAACAAGAAAGGAAAGCAAAGGAGGCTGGTGAATGGGTCACTGTGTAAATTGTTTATCACCAATCCGATGACTCAGGTTTGATCCCTAGAACCTGCACTGTTGGATGGACAGCTGCAAGTTGTCCCACAGGTACACAAATGGGTTAAGAACAGGTGGCGTGGGTGCCTACACAAAGTAGAGGTGGGGAGCAGCTTGCTGCAGGTGCCGCCCCCCCCCCCGTTATTCATCCGAGAGTCAAGCTAAGGAACACCCTATAAATCTAGTAATTAAGAAACAGCAGCGTTTCAGATAAGCCCTCGGGAATGGCTCAGTGGTGGTGTCTACTGCGCCTGTGCATTGCTGATCTTTTATATTCAGTTTTTCCAGGTTGTCTGCACTGTCAACGTTTATGCTCTTGAATCTGTTTGAAAAACAAACAAGCCATTAACCGTGTGAAAAATTGCAACAAATTGATGCTTTATTGCACTCTGTGAAGTCAATCTCCATGTCTGTCTTCTTGCCTTTTTTCCATCCGTATGTGGACAAGGTTATCATCAGCTCCTAGTTGCCTTACGAGCTTGGCTGTGCAACAAACCCCTTTCACTTTGAATCTCAGTTTGGGTTTGTCAGCCAGTTCTGCACAGTTATTTGGGGATTTATCCTGACTTTTATACCTCACTTCAACTGATCATTTCATCCCTATTCACATTTATTCTAAGAGCTTTATGTCCTGACAGTCTTACAGCAAATGTGAATGGTGATGAACTATCTGCTCAGATGTCTAAACATTACCTGCCTGAGGACATGTAGAGAATAGTGAACTTTCTGTCTGTGGGGCATAGCTACCAAAGTACTAAGTGTCCTTGACTGGCTGGAGACGATGGTGGCAGTTTTGGAACCGCCCTCCCTTCCTCCCCGCTGCAGACAGCTCCACTGGCCCTGACGGGTTTAGACGCCAGAAAGTTGCCTTCAGCTTGTGCCTATATACACACTGAGAGGGCCAGGGAGCCAGACCGAGCCGTGCGTGACAGGTTTCTAACAGCCCAGCCAGGAACCAGGCTTTAGGGAACTGGCTGGAGCTGAGCAAGTAGCTCTTGGGAAAACCACAATTTAGGGGCAACCAACCAACAGGTGCCCGTCCCCCAGCCTCCTGCCAGCTCAGCAAACCCCCAAACCCCGTCTGCTGGCACAGCAAATGTCCCCCAGACTTCTGCTAGCTAAAGGTAGCTTTCCCTAATCTCGTGTCAACAAGCCCCTAGACATTAGCCCCCCACCACTAAATACTAGAGCCACCTACCAGTCAACCCCCAGACTAATCTTTCCTCCACCAGTCAGCACCAGATCAATCCCTTCCCTCGAATTCCCCTAACTGACCTCCCTTTGGGGTCGCTATTTGCCACCCCAACATACTGGAAAAAATGCTCTTGCTAAATTGCATATGTGACTGCTGGTCTTGGAGGCTTCTCTCAGATCCCAACACAAATAAAAGCTTAAAATTCATTCCTATTAATTTGCCTCCAGTGAACTCAACTAGTACTTACAGTTTCTGCTTATAGGATTATCTGTCAGGGATAATATACATAGTCTTTTTTTAATATCTGATCACAGTATCTGATTGTACTGTGGCGATTTGAATGAGATTGGCCCTCATAGGCTCACGTTTAAAAACGTCCCCATTTGGTGGAACTGTTGGGGGAGGATCAGGAGGTGTGGCCTTACTGGAGTGGGTGTGTCACTCAGGTGGGCTTTGAGGCGGAGCTAACCTCAGCTCCTGGTGGGTCAGTGTGAGTTCTCGGCTGTTGCTGATGCCATGCCTTGGCTCTGCCATCTTGGACTCTAACTCTGAAATTATAAAACTAAATAAACACTCTATTTTTTTATAAGTTGCCTTGATTATGGTGTTTTGTCACAGCAATAGAAAAGTGACTAGTATACCTGTCGTCCTTCACTGTACCTCAGTGGGTCACCTCTGACAACTGTCACCTAGGACACTCGAGGTTCTCCCTTACTCCATGTTACTTTTGAAAAGTGCATTATGTCTTCTGGCCTTCCTATCTACAAATCCTCACTCACCTATACTGTATTCAACACATGGCCGAGAAGCACTTGAAGAAATGTTCAACATCCTTAGTCATTCAGGAAATGCAAATCAAAACTGCTTTGATATTTTTGTCTATACCGGTCATAATGGCCAAGTTAATAAGACAAATGACGGCTCTTGCTTGTCAGGATGTGGGAGGAAGGGGAACACTTCTCCGTTGTTGGTGGGAGCGCACACTTAGACACTATGGAAAGCAGTATGATGGGTCCACAGGAAGCTGGGAGTAGATCTACCTCAGTATCCAGCTATGGGCATGTATCCAAAGGACTCTACCCAGCTTGGGCATGTATCCAAAGGACTCTACCCTACTACAAAGACACTTGCTCATCTGTGTTCATTGCTGCTCGAATATCTAGAAATTAGAAACAGCCTGGATGTCCCTCAACTGATGATAAGGAAATTGTACATTTACATAATGGAATATTATAGAGAATCATGGGATTCACAGGTAAAGGGGATGGAGCCAGTAAAACATTACTACTCGGGTGACCCAGACCCAAAATGACAAATATGGTATGTCTTCTCCTATCTGTGGATGTTACCTTTTAAGCCTTTGATAGGCATGCTACAATTTGTATAAGCACAGAGGAGAGGTATAGAGAAGGTGAGGGGGAAGGGAGGGTGACCCAAGGAAGAGGGAACAGGAAATTATGGAGAGCAGGGGTGGGGTGGGAAGGCAGACTAGAACAGGAGGATTAAATAGTGCTGTAGCAAGAGTTCCCACAGAGCTCTGTGGCTGGGTTGATTCTGGAGCATCGGCCCCTGGTTTTGATCTGCCCTAATGACTGCTGCCTTTTGGGTCTGCTACCTTCTGTTTGAAGTACGCAAACCTTATCTGAGAGTTCCCTAAAGTTTCAAAGCCTATACAAGACTTGGTTGTTGGAAGACTCAGAAAACTGAGATGACCTGTGCCTGGGAACTGCTTTGGCACTTGTCTCTTTGGGGAGCTTCAGATAAGAGGTTCTGATATGTGGAAATGAACCTGCTAAAGGTGTGAATTGTATAACAATAAAAAAGCCTTTTGCAAAGTTACAGTCACCCAGTTCACCAGAAGCCGACTCCCCTACGGCTGCAAAGGCTAAAATTCATCCTAGAGTGACCTTGATTCTTCCACGGACCCTTGTGAACTGAACGCCGGACACAACAGGAGCTAAAGAAGGGGGTTAAGGGAGGGACACCTCATGCTCGATAACCACCCTTTGAGGGATCACATGGAAACTGATAGAAGCTTCTTCAACTATATACATACGTGAAATAGATCTAAATGGAGCCCCCAAATAATGGGGGAGACAATGCCCCAGCTAGACCTCTCTTGTCACCAAGTGTCTGGAATCGGTTACATCTAATTGAGTTGTTGACCCCCAAACAACTCAGGCTCTTGCCAAGGCTATCAGTTGCTCTCCACAAACCGAGCGGAAGTCCCTCCTACTGAAGACAACAGCTCTATAATTCATTGAACATGGGGAAGTGGAGCTGGAGCTTAACTAGAACTTTCCCTCTACTGACTGGTGTTTATGGCACTGGAACTCTGGGTGCCACCAGAAGAGAAGGAAAACACCAACTCAACTGCAACACTTTCCATCTACGGTGTGACGTGTCTGCAAGTCACTAGTGCCATAGTGGCCGAAGCGTGTGGGAGTCACCAACCACTGACTGTATTTAAGGCCCCTCCGTGAGAAGGAACCCAGGGCCGACACTGTTCAGGTGGCTAAGAACTGAGACAAGATAGGCCATGGGCTGGGGGAAACCAAATACTATCATTCCCCTAAGGGAACAGAACAATAAAATGACTCCGAATGACATTTTGCTATACCCATAAGCCAGTGTTTTGCTCGGCCTTTATCAGAGAAGCTTCCTCTTGCAGTAAATGGGAACTAAAGAGACCCACATCCAATGCACAGAAAGCGGGAGACCTTGGAACACTCAGTCTTTTTTTTTTTTTTTTTTAAGATTTATTCATTTATTATGTATACACTGTTCTGCCTGCATGCCCTGCAGGCCAGAAGAGGACACCAGATCTCACTACAGATGGTTGTGAGCCACCATGTGGTTGCTGAGAATTGAACTCAGGACCTCTGGAAGAGCAGCCAGTGCTCTTAACTGCTGAGCCATCTCTCTAGCCCCTGGAACACTCAGTCTTAAATGTGACGTCTTCATCAAAGCCCTCAGGGCTCAGGATCATATGTAGAAGAGGAAGTAGAAAGATTCTAAGAGCCAGAGGGGAAGGATAACACCAAGGAAACAGTGTGTGGTGGTCTGAATAAATATCCCCCTCAACCCAAAATGGTGTGTTTGAATGCTTGGCTCAGAGGGAGGGGCACTATTAGGAGGTGTGGCCTTGTTGGAGGAAGTGTGTCACTGTGGGGGCGGGCTTTGAGGTCTCACATGCTCAAGCCCCATCTAGTGTCTTAGTTCCCTTCTGCTTCCTGAGGATCAAGATTTAGAACTCTCAGCTCCTTCTCCAGCACCATGTCTACCTGCACTCTGCCACGTCCCACCATGATGATGATGAACTAAACCTCTGAACTGTAAGGTAGACCAAATTAAATGTTTTCCTTATAAGAGTTGCCATGGTGGGTCATGGAGTGTAGTGGTATTTGCTCTGCCCATGACCTTGGGCTATACAGCCCAAAGGAGGTGGTGCTTCCTGCCATTGTATGTGACCCCTTATAAGGAGTTGGAGAAGGGTCACAGGACCCTGCTCCCTGATCCTGCCTGCGTGGTGGATTCACTCCTGGTCAGATCAGAGGCCGACTTCCGCTGTCTACTCTGTTCTGTAATCGTGAGTGTATTTCCTCAGTTTATATCTTTTTTTTAATTTTTTATTTTATTTTATTTTATAATACCATTCAGTTCTACATATCAGCCATGGGTTTCCCTATTCTCCTCCCTCCCATACCCTCCTCTTACCCCCAGCCCACCCCTCATTCCCACCTCCTCCAGGGCAAATCCTCCCCGGAGGACTGCAATCAACCTGGTAGACTCAGTCCAGGGAGGTCCAGTCCCTTCCTCCCAGACTGAGCCAAGTGTCCCTGCATAAGCTCTAGTTTTCAAACAGTCAACTCATGCAATAAGCACAGGACTTGGTCCCACTGCCTAGTTGTCTCCCAAACTGATCAAGCCAATCACCTCAGTTTATATCTTAATAAGTTCTGTTATCCATGTTGTGCCCAGATCGTGACCCCCAGAGAGACCACCAAGGATGAGCATAGCAGAATGCAAAAGCAAGGTTTATCTGTTACAAGTCATGACAGGGAACTCAACTCAAGCCATCTCAAGGGAGGCAGAGAAGAGTTACTCTTTCTTGGGGAAGTTAGTTTTTATAGGCAAAACCCATACAATTTCTTAGAGGGGAGGAGGTTAGTACGGGTCCATCCTTGATTGGTCCAGTTTTTCCCGGGCCTGGACTTTGTCTTATTCTAGCTTATCTGTTTGCCCTGTCAGGAGTTTTACAACTCATCTCTGGGGTCTGGTCTTGTTATCTCTGGAGAGGGGCATCTCGTGGTTAATTGGTTCCCACCAGACATCCTGATTGTTCTTTTGAAAACACTTGTCTTTACCCTCTCCAGGAAGGGGGAACTGACTTATTTTTAAGATATCTCTTTCCTCAGCTCTTTTGGGTTTCTGGGGAAACTGTATCTGGGTCTTTTATCTCCAGTGCTGAGATTAAAGGCGTGTGTCACCATATTCCCATCCCATTTGGTTTTGAGACAGGATCTCTATAGCCCAAACTGGCCTGTGTTATGCCCAGATCTCATCCCCAAAGCTGCCACTGGAGACTTTAGGTACAGAATGCAAAAGCAAGGTGTATTCTAAGTTTACAAGCCTCCAGGGAGGCTCATTCCAAATCTCTCACATGCAGCAGGGAGGTTGGAAGGAGCACTCCCCTTTCTTTGTGAGGCTAGTTCTTAAAGGCACAGACCATATACTTCATTTCAACCCTCCTCCCTTTTTTAGTCTTTTGGTCGAATATCCTGACTCTGTGTTTTTTTTTTTTAAAGTCCCTGTAGCTGATACCACCACCTAACTAAGACACAGGAGACTAACAAACTGAAAGAAGAAAGTCACATGATCATCTCATTAGATACTGAAAAAGCTTTGACAAAATCCAAAACCCCTTTATGATAAAAGTTTTGGTGAGATTAGACACGCAAGGGACATACCTAAACATAATTAAGTGTAATATACAGCAGGCCTATAGCCAACACCAAATTAAATGGAGAGAAACTCAAAGGAGTTCCACTAAAATCAGGAACAAGACAAAGCTGTCCACTCTCTTCATACTTATCAATGTAGTACTTGAAGTTCTAACTAGAGCAATAAGACAACTGAAAGAGATCAAGAGGATACAAATTGGAAAGGAAGAAGTCAAAATATTACTATTTGCAGATGATATAATAGTATACAAAATTGCACCAGGGAACTCCTACACCTGATAAACACCTTCAGCAAAGTGGCTGAATACAAGATTAACTAAAAAATATACAATGGATTATAGCTAGAGTTTTCCTGGTCCTGCCTGGCCCACGGTCAGGACAAATCTCTGTCACCCACCAGTCCCACAGCCGCTCAGACCTAACCAAGTAAACACAGAGACTTATATTGCTTACAAACTGTATGGCCGAGGCAGGCTTCTTGTTATTTAGTTCTTCTATCTTAAATTAACCCATTTCTATTAATCTATATGTTGCCACATGGCTCGTGGATTACCGGTATCTTCTCATGGCGGTGGCTGGCAGCATCTCTTAACACCTCCCCCACCCCTGCCTTCTAGCTCCCAGA